TGCAACAAGAACTTTCAAACGATCAAATGCTTAACATCGTGGTCGAAGCATTTTACAGTGAAAGTTTTCATATTACAGAGCCAACAAATAAGACTAGTTGTTATTCCATGTAACTCTTACTTCACTACTTAGTCAGTAAAAAGGAGAGAATTTATATTATTTTATAACATTAAGGTGACTAAACCGTTGTTAACATTTCTTTAATATAAGTCATAAAAAAGATTTTTTATAGTGATTGTCTCCTTAGGAGCATGTCATCCATTTAAAAAGACAATAAGTAATCCTTCAGTGAAGGCTTCAGTGCTTTTAAATAAAAATAATTCATCTGAATTTTCAGATTTTTTCGCGTTTATATGACGTTATGCAAAGTAACGTGATATGATGTTGTAGATTGGGATTTAAGAGACGATAAGTAATGTAGAAACTAGACTTTAAATTTGTCCAAATGTTTATTGCATCTTGTAGTCATATCTTGCTAGGTTAAGGTTAGGAGAGGGTTTATATGCGTTCTGTTTGCCCTGAGTTTTCTCGACTACTAAAAATATTGTAAAAAATTCGAGCAAAAGACAATTATGGATCTCGTTTATTTCAATTCTTCACCACAATCTGAAAAAATTGCACCTCTAGCGCTCAACCACATAGTGCATTGGAGACAGACGACAAATTTAGTGCATTTATCATTGCATCTATTCAATAATGACTAATGTGACATTGAAAAAATAAACCAAAAGTCAATAGCATTAATAAAAAAACATTGAAATTTTCAGAAGAACAATATAGAGATAAATGAAGAAGCAAATAATCATTTATCGTCAGCGTAGTCACTTACATTTAGTTTCCAGCCGTGAGATTAATTTTTATACATAATACCGAAGTAAGTACGTGGGTAAAACATTTTAAAAGGGTTTGAAGGCAACACCTTTATTTTTCTTTGCACAATCACAAATCTTTATACTTGTCGTCTATGTGTATAGTCTTGTTCCATCTCATGTGAACAATATCTGCTTTCTACGACGCCTCGTGATTTACTTGTAGCAACATTTGAAGTGAATAGTATTTTTATGCATGGTGTTAAGCACGTCATTATATGTATTTCTTCCACATGATTGTTTAACATTCATTTTTCGTACTTGAACAAATTACCGAATATCTATCAAATCTAATTTTTTAAAACAAAACGTATTGTTATATTTGTACAAAATTAAAGTATAGTTTCCAAATTTAATATCGTCTCATGAATCTAAACCTACAACATCAAGCATCGTTACTTTGGATAACGACATTAAAACGTAAAAAAATCTGAAAATTCAAATGACTTTTTTTTAAACGCATTGAAGTTGATTTGAACGCAAGTCTTTTTGATAGATGACATGCTCCTAAGGAGCCATTCACAATAAAAAATTTTAGTCACGACGTTAATTAAAGAAATGCTAACAACGGAAAATTAGTCACTTAAAGGGCTGTTTATATGAGCCTGGCTAACCGGAATTCAGTGAGGCGTTAAATGATTTCGACGCTATGAAAGGGGGAGGGAGGGGGGGGGGCATCTCGAGAAGATTTTTCTTATGATAAGTATAGAATCGTTTTAGAATTGTATTAATAGAATTTTTGTCATTACTTTGTGTTGATGCTTGGTTTAGTGTAATAGTTGTTTTATGTTTGAAAAACATGTCCCAACAACTGTAGGATCAAGTTGCAAAAAATTTTATTAAGAAAAAAACTATGTAAGAAAAAAAACATGACTGAAAACATGTTTTTTGGGGAGGACATTTTGCTGCGTTGCGGTTATTGATTGATGATTGGGGGGGAGGCACTAATATTTATATACCGTATACATGTTTTACTATGTTAGTTATTTAATTTCTTTTGAAATCCATAGTGATTAAGGATTATACAATATGAATAATGACAATAAACTAATAAAAAGGTTGACTTTTTGTGCATCTTGATTCCTACAGTAGGTAGCAAAGAGTTGAAAACCCACAACAGACATGTTCATATATTTAAAATAATGTTCCATTTTATAACTTAATTAAGGCAAAAAATCTGCAATGTATAAATTAAGTGTTTCATAATTGTGGAAAAGTGTGAATTGGTAGAATATTGTTGTAAAAATAAGGCAGGTTATAATTTCACCTATCAAAACAGAAGATAGTCAAATTGTCAAAGTTGTGATGCAGTTGATGTGAAATAAAAAACACCCCTTAATCAATGACACCAAAAAATGCACTGTTTATAGGCAAACCTTGCTTCTATAGTTTCCTCAAGGATGCGACAACTTTGGGTAATTATATTTGTCGAATGGAGATTCTCATGTTGATTCACCCCACCACTAGCTTCATCTTTAATACAAGTTTCAACTATAGCCACAAATGAATTTTCAAACAAAGGTAAGGTCTAACTTCTTGGGGAAGTTGGTTGAAGCTATCTGAAGAAATGTAGAGAGATTAGGAAGATATAAAACAAAGTAACAATGTCCTGTAATACTCCAAGCTTGGTAAAACAAAACTCTGTAATTCAAATGCATCATTTACGTATATTAATATGCAAGTTAGGCATAGTAAAGGGTTCAAATTGGTATTTGAGGGAAGGAGCCCCTTTGCTTAAATTTCTCTCACAAAAATCAAGGCAATCTATAGTTGATAACATTGATAGAAAGCCATCTAGATTGAAACATTCACTAATTTAGCTTCAAAAACAAACTTAAACTTTTATGACATTTTGATTACCCTACTATGCTATTAAAAAGATAAAAAAGTGCACTATGATTCAATGTATTGACTTGAAATATATAATTTGCTTAATGCACATGATAAGGTAAAATTGTAACAGTGTTTTGTGAAGACGCAAATAATGCCATGTTCCTTGGTAATTCAGAATGCAAGATTAGTTATAATTATAATTATAAGTCAATATATATATAATTATATAGTAATTATATTAAGTCAATATATAATTATAAGTCAATATCTTGGGAATAGTAAAAAGTATCTTAAGTCTTAAAGTATGACTTCGAAAAACATCATAGTATTAAACCAAACAGAGGTTGATGCTATTGTTACTGTTACATTCTTAGGTCATTGGTGTGTAGTCTAATTTAACACATAAAACCCGATTTCCATATAATCGTGTCGATCGTCTTCGTCTGAAAGCGTGTAGGGACGATATTGCACGCAGTCGTTTTAATCGTCTAGATAGAACAGAGTTCCATCTTGACAATTGTAATCGCTTTGATGGCCTTGTTCGTTTCGATAGTCTTGAATATGTTTCCATAAAAACGCTCTAATCGTCCTTGTATGCTTTCAGACGATTGACGATCGAGAAAATTATATGGAAACCGGGCTTGAACGAATGCGGCAATGACATTTAAAAATATAAAATAAAATGAAGAAAAAAATGTGCTGCCTTTCGGACATTTCACTATACATCATAATTCATAAAAAATTGAAAATTTCGGTTTAGTTCAAAATCCACGATACTAAATCATCAATAAATTTAACTCACCTCTGTATATTTCATACTGTGTTGTAAACATTTATCGCAATGTCTTCTTTACGGTTCTCGGTTTGTTTGAAATTGCATCTTTAGTGGTCACTTACTTACATTTTTTATTCTATTTTTGCTCGCACACATCTATTTCCAAACACCCATAAACAAACGGGCAAATTCGATTGTATATTGTATTGTACGCGCGGAATATGTCTGTCGGGTGGACTCGGGAGAAGGTGAAACGTAAATAACGCTAAAAATGTTTTTTTATTTCAACCAATCATTCGCGCCATTGGTTCCCGCACTTGCGTAAAAAATTTGAGGTTTAAATTTAAATTCATCCCGCTGCACGAATCTCAATTCGATTTCATGCGCCACTAAAGAGAAGCTTTATATAAGGAAAAAGGTAAGTTATAACTTATATGTAGATCGGGTTTATTCAATTAGAATAACAGCAAGATGGATAGTTCTAATTAAAAGTACTTTGTATTTTACACAGATAAATTTGAAGTTATTGCCACATGATAATAAACGAAATGTAACTATTTAAGCTGATTTGTTATTTTCAAATCATTGTTACATAAATAAATCGTAATGCCAAACGCATTTTGGAAGTTTAACATACTAACGATGGTACAATTGTACGTATGTCGCTAAGTAGTACAACTGCACGTCGGCGAAGGCCGACCGAACTCTAGTGGACGAAATATACACTATAGCAGGCACGTTTATATGAACGGGCTATCTACAGGGTGTATCAATAACGACATTTAGAAACTAACCTATCGTGAAATTTCAAGACCTGATGACGATGCTAATCACTGTGATACATTTCAGCGCATGTTTTGTTGTTAGAACTTGTGTCAAATTCCCAGGATAAGAAAAGCTTTTGCGCAAGTATATACACGTAGCTAACAATACTTTACGCAGTAGTGAGCCGAGCCTAGTCGTAGCAATTGAAATTATCACAATACGTCAATTTCTAAAGATCTTTGATACACCCTGTACATTTTACACCCTGTATACATTACACCCTGTACACCATACACCCTGTACACAATAGACCCTGTACACTTAACACCTTGTACACAATACACCCTGTACACAATACACCCTGCACAATACACCCTGTACACAATACACCCTGTACACAATACAGCCTGTACACAATACACCCTGTACACAATACACCCTGTACACTTAACACCCTGTGCACAATACAGCCTGTACACAATACACCCTGTGCACAATACACCCTGTACACAATACACCCTGTACACAATACACCCTGTACACAATACACCCTGTGCACAATACAGCCTGTACACAATACACCATATACCTGCACACTTTACACCACGTACACTAAACACTCTTCAAGATTCATCACTAAACACTGTTCCAAGGGCATTAAAAAATTTAAACCATTTGAAATCAACTCAAGTTTCAACTATAAATGCATGGTTCAGCAGTAATTGTACCCCAAGGAGGCAGCTAGTGCACATAGTAAATCCAAGAATACAATTCCTTTTAATTGTGTTTACGCCTCCTTGTGGATCAAAGGAAATTCTAAAGGTCAGATGATATCTACGGATTGAAGTTTTTTAACACACCCTGTATGCTTTATATACACAATTTGTATAACAATGTACCCTCCTGTGAAATGGTGGCTCAGGACTGGGAAGAAGAACAGATGGTTACACATTGTTACTGTTTTACACTAGAGTCGCCAGAGTGCTCAAACATGTAGAAATATTCCTTCGACTTTTATGTTCTTGAGGACAATATTCATAAGACATCCCTACAACATAAGACAAGGTATAAACAGATTTTTAAACTTGTGGTTTGCCAGAGGGGTGAGGGCATCTTTAAAAGAATGTGGTTATGTGAATTCCAAAGATGATTATATAAACAGGAAAGGCATACTGTATATAATCTCAATGTTTAAAGTTGTGTGCAACACAAATATTGAAAATCAAATGGTCTGTCTGTACTGTATGCATGTTATTCAGAACTAGCTTCATTTAAATACTGAGTGATGCAATGAAATGCTCTTCAAAGTAATGTTTAATGGTGAACATTTCGTCTCCAAACGCTTTCATGCTAATCTTCTATACCCTAATATGCTTACTTTGACAAAAATTGCAAATGAGAAACCACACAATCAGCACGATGATGCAAATATAGATTATCTTAAGCAAAAAGAACGGAAAATTCACTTGGTAAATTAAAGCTTAATTAAGGTTTTTAGGGAAGCTTATTGAGCTTTAAATGAAATACATACCATAAGCTACTTTGAACATGATCGTATCTGACAGTGAGTTTCTACTCAACTTTAAAAGCAAGTTCCTGGAATGAGGAAAAAATTATTTTCAGTAAAGAATCACAAGCTAATTACTTCAACTAAAATGAATACTCCTCCTTAAACAAAACATTAAGATGCATTATTAGGGGTGTTGAAAGCATACAATAAGTGGAAAACATGACACAACTGCCAAATTGGTGAAGACGATTTTAAAGATATGCCGCCCCCCATTTTAGTCCTTCCGGTGCCGCTGTGCAATAATATAGGTTGCACCTGAATTTGTGCAAACTTGAAATTGATAGTTATTTGAATGCACCAGAAGAATGGCCAGCTTCAAAATATTGCACTTCATTCTTTCTGCACATGATAATATAGCCATAGCGCAACTATTTTTTTTTGAAATTCTCATGATTTTTTAAACTGCATCATCTTGTCTACAATAATTCCTCATTGGCATCTTGGTTGCAAAATATTAATTTGTAGAATGACAAGATGTTCATTCTTAGTGACTAATCCAATGTGACAATTTATGTTTAATACATTATGAGCATTGATCTGTGTAGATTGCTTCCCCTGTTCCATATGTTGTGATCATTTAAAGCAGGTAGGGCTGTCAAAGCTCGCCAGGCTGGATCTGGTAATAAAAATTACCAACTCTGATCGCACTGAACTAACCTCTCCTAAAACACTTGCAAGATACAAATAAAGAGACTTGATTCTAATTATGCATTTTAAAAATTCACTCTATATTCAAGGTTAGTTGTCGAAGGACTGCATCTCAAATTTCAAAAGACATTAAAAATTTCAGGACAACACTTTCCCAGGGCCACTGCTACAACATTAGTTAGGGAAGGGTGTTATTCATTAATGCAACAGATATGAGTTGGACGCATTGAGTTCTCTGTGACCTTGAGGTCTTATACAACTCAATGGTTGGGTGCAACAGAATATATGAATTTCATAGCCCCCACGGTACGACCCTGTCTAATCATTTAATACTTGTTTAACAAATATTTCACCTTCGCAGCTATTCTTTTCTTTGTCTTAGCACTTTCCATGCACATTGACCAGAGAGTTTCACAATGTTTATTCCCGTGTATAAAGTTCACCCCTTTCTGGCTGCAATTCAAACAGTCATTTCCAAATTGCAATTGGCTCAATTTCGATTCAATACTTCCCCAGTCTGCTTCCACATACAATCAAACTTCATGATTCACTACGGCAAGAGTTCAATCACCCTATCAGTCCAAATGGGACGGTCTTTCTGTTAGAAATGCGTCGAGATTTCGACTGTCATTTGCCGCCATACGGCTACTCCACATGCACTAGTTCGTGTTGCAGGGAAATGACGTAATTGTAGAGAGATAAATAATGATTTTATTTTAATTTTTTTGCTTCATCGGATTGGATTCATGATTGGATTTCGATTCCGACACGGTATGAGTCCAGTATCGTGTGAATAGTACTAGTACAGAATGTACATAAGCTTGCATAGGAAATTATGGTATAAAAATAGAATTAAGTTAAGTTTATGGTACAAATGCCGGAATTTTTTCCCAGATAACAAAGCGTGCCATTGAAGTAAATGTGACTTTAATCAATACTTTTTACCTTATGCTCTTGTAAAAAAACCCCAGAATATTTCTAGATAATAAAAACTTTAAGCTCAGCAAGTCATCTTTCTAAATTGGAAAGGATGTGCTATAACTTATCTAAATTGACTGGTTAAAGGATGTGCTATAACTTATCTAAATTGACTGGTTAAAGGATGTGCTATAACTTATTGTAAGGAAACTAACCAAAAAATTTAACTTTTCTTGAATTCGGACATGCCCAAGAGTGGACATTGTGCCATTGTGCCATGGTACGTGGGCCCTTAATAGTATATGAAAATGGACCCTTTATACACACATCTATGAAATACCAATTTTACTGAAATTTAAAGAATTATTTGATTCTCGTACTTTTGCAGGTGTGACAACGAAAACAGTCAAGAAGTTTAAAGCAGTTCAAAAGGTGCGCAATAAAACTCCCCGGATGTTTAAAGACAACAAAAGTTCCAAGAATGTGTAAATACTTCAGATCAGCGTCAAAGTCATTGAAAATGAAACAATTTCTTTTTTTGCCGCTGGGGTTGGTTGCAAGAAGAATGGATAGCGTTATCCACTGGATAGTAAATTTTTCTGAACGCTCATAAAATCTCTCATAAGAGAAAAATATACGATTTGAACTGTGCAATCACTGAAATAAAATATTCTTTCGAAGATTACAAAATTTCTTTGTCGTAAGAAAAATATAAACGCTTTTTTTACAAGTTTGAAAATTTTCGCTATCCAATAGATAACACTATCCAGGCTTTGTGCAACCGGCCCTAGGACTGTGAGCTGGATAAAGACTACATACAACATGTAACGATACTCACGGGTTTAAATCATTCACTATATCAATAAAACACCAATATATTGCCATTCGTGATTTAATCAATATTTTGTACTTTATTCGAGACATCCTTTATATTACAAAACTTAACCGTACTTTTGAAACTTTCTATATGTAGAAGTAGAATGGTTGGTTACAATAATGGATCTAATTCAGCCGATGAGTTCCACCTTATTTTGCCTATTCAAGAGACATCTGATGGTGAGTATACTGCCATGCCAAATCATGGACCAACGACTTATCAAAACATATCTAAACATGAATCCTCGTGTAGTAATTATAGAATTGCGAATCAAATGACTTTTCTTTTGACTTAGGAGAAGTTATCTTAATGATGATCTAGATGATGACGAAATGTATTTCCCAGTGCATAAGGAGGAGTCCGTTGAAGATGATTTTCTTAGTCAGTTAGAAAACAGCAAAATAAATAGATCTTTAGATAAATAGTACTGCCCAGCAAACAATACGTAATATTTAATGAAATAGATTTAGTTGACATATATGTAATTTTAATTTCTTAATGGGTGTATCAATGATGTTCATTAAAAAAATACAATTCTTGCCAGCACTAAAGGAAATTTGCCGGAAAGAATGAACATCTGCGTATTGCTGCGTGCGTATAATAAAAGTTTGTATCAACGCACATGCATTTATGATTAAGAAGTGAGAAAGGAGTTTATTTTGAGTAGCTACTCATATTCAGACATCATTTTGAGAGAATAAGAAAGGAACTATTCCGTAGTCAGTCTGTTAAAACATATATAACTCGGGCAAAACGAGATATATTGCTGAGCATTGCAGAAATAATTCACATACTGCTCGTAAAACATTTCATGTAAATGTGGAAGCTTATTCTATTGGAATATTTTAGCAAAAATCTTGCAATTGTAGAAGAAATCACTCTGCTATTAATTAGAGAGAACCCGATTAGCGTGAGAGAGCGTTTAGAAAACGGGCGTTGGTCTCAAATTCAAAATAAAATTTACTAAAGCGTATGGTACGTAGCTGCCGTCTGGTTTAATAGACCTCACTAGCACACCAAAACTGCTTTCTCTTTGAAAGTGGTGAAAACAAATCATAATCTTTGAAAAAATGAAACAGGCTACGTCACCTGTTCAATTTGTATCCTCTCACCAAACTGCTTAGTAAAGTATAAAATCGTGCAAAAATTGGAGCAAAGAGAACTGTGATAACACCACTGAACTATTAAATGAAGATATGATCTTCGCACTTTGCTGGACAATTTAAGCAATCGTCTCAGGACCTGAAAAAATCAGGTGACATGCTTGTCGACAGTTAACTGAAAATGTAATTGACAGAAATTTATTTGTTGTTACATTTAAAAGCTTGCCTGCGGGTTTTAATAAGAGCATGATATTTAATAAATATATATTGTCTTTATTATTTGAAAAACTAAGCCATGAATCATGCATCATTGAAAACTTTACAGCATTTGCCAGTTAGACGAATCGCAGATGCACATCTTTCAATATCTTACCATAGGTTATTAGTATAGTCGTTTAATCGGCTTGTTTGCAAGATTTCAGCGAGTCCAATCTTTTTCTTTGCAAATCAAGAATTTTTATGTGATGACTTGCAGCTAAATCGAGAGATCGGAGCACAGACGCCATATTGAAATTTGATGCGTGGGTTCAGTATATTACGTCATTATTTCTAAAACACGGCAAAACACTTGCCTAAATATATTTTCTTTTCCAAAACCAAACGATGTCGTTTATTCGTATTCTGTCTGGTAAGTGTCCGTGTAAGTATTTAAATTTATTAACACTTCATCCCATGCACTGTCTCAAATACAAATACATTAACACAAGAAAGTGGAAAGAATTTATTTATTTTATGCGCATACGATGATGTTTTTTTACAAAAAAGTTAAAGTGGGTAAAATCGTATTTCGCGGCAAGACGATAAAACAATTCGCGCGCGCAACGATGGTGTATTTATCTTTCAGTTCACGTTTCACGTGCCAAATTTCAATATGGCGTCTGTGCTCCGATCTCTCGATTTAGCTGCAAGTGCGGCAAGTTCTCAGCAAAAAATGACAAGAACAGATTGGATGAAAGAAAAGAATTAGAAGAAGCTAGAAAGGCAGGAACTGCACCAGCTTTGCAGGATGAAACAGGAAAGTATGTGTACCGTCTAAACTTTCTTTTACTTGTCAAAGGCTAACCATCTTGCGCCTTTTATGTTCGTAATTTTGTGATTGCGAATACTTAACAGTTTCCTTCTACTTCAAACATTCGATTTCAAGTTCAACTAATTTATATCTCATTATTTATGAATTTTACGAAGCATTTCAAATTAAAAATATATTACTTAGAAATGATTCACGTTATATATAAATAAATTTAAAATATACTAGTTTGTTTATTGTTTAAATTTTAAAGTTTATATAATAATTCTAGATTGTATGTGGAATAAATATAACACATATTGTGAGAGAAAACATGTCATGTGTGTCTGAACCATTCACTTTATAAAATCCTATGTCCAAGTGTTGTCTTGTTATGCGATAATTAAAATTACTTGGTTTTTTAAACCACTGAAGATCTTGTAAAGTAGTGCTTAAAGTACTTTATTTATGAATTGTGTAAATATTTTCATAATATCTGATACGTTCAATATTTTGCTTTATCTAGAGACATCAACCCTCATATTCCTCAATATATTTCGGATGCACCTTGGTACTATGGAGCATCTGGGTATGTTAAATAGTTTATATTGTGTTGTTTCGTATAGTTTGTTGCTGAGGTTGCTGGCTTGGATTTTTAAATTTGATGCAAAATCATATATTCAACTTGTTTGTTTACTGAAATACAAATAGTATATGCAGAACAAAATTGTTGACTTTAGTGTAAAGCAATCAATTTCCGAAGTTCAACATCAACATCTTGAACTTTCAAAGCAACTTGCTAATGCAAAGAGTAGTTTTCGAGGGTTTTCACCTTCACCTCAGGTTCTGGATCTGGTCGGATAAAAACTTCAGCTTTGGCCAAAAAAACTTAGTGTTAATTTTCACGGTCTTTCAAATACTGTAACTACCCACCACACTGGAAAATCTTGCTATGAATGAAGAAAAGGTTTTTTACAAAATAGTTTTACTTTCATGAAAAACAGCACCTTGTCTCTGAATCACTTTGTCATAAAAATATTTTTGCTCTCACATTATGCAGTTGTCATAGTGTGAGAGCAAAAATACTGCTCTGAGAGTTGTCATAGTGTCAGATACAGTCGAAATATAGTATTTTAATTTATGTATAACGAAAGATGTCATGTTATCTTTCGTTATACATAAATTAAATACTATATTTCGACTCTATCTGATTTTTGACTTCAAACATTAATGTTTTTACTCATTTACAAAAATCTGACTGCCAGAGCTTTTGTTTTGACATAAATTTAGACTCCCTTTGAAAAATATATCAAAACTGCTGCAAGTGCACAGTACTAACCAAAAATAAGCCTTTACTAGAATTGAACTCCCAATAGTTGTTTAACAAAAAAAAGTCAGATATGCTACATTGACAAGTAACCATGGAAATGCAATCCAAGCTTGAGAAACACCATTCCCTTCACAAAATCATTTTTAGATTCATCCTTGTGTTTAGCAATGAACACCACATAACATTGCAATGAATATTATTCTATAATGAAAAGGTGTAAGATTGTTTTATTTCGAACCACGTCCTGTGTAAAAGTACAAATGCAGACCTTAAATGATTTTTCTCAATATTTAGACCAACTCTCAAGCATCAAAGGCCACAGGAAGAAAGGCAAAAACAGTTTGCGAAAATTGATGCATCGTATAAACGTGGCTTGAAAGAGGTAGTGAGTTACACGTTGGTGATTTTTCATCGTTTTGAAAATTATGTAATGTAAGCCATCTAAATCTTTAGACTGCAGCGATAAAATTTCGAAAGGGAGCCTGTGAAAACTGTGGTGCGATTACTCACAAGAAAAAAGACTGTCTTGAGGTTTCTTTCATGATAATTATGTATTTGAAATCTTTTTTAACTCTTGTTGTCTGATGAGATTGATTAGTGGCGTCGGTCTTTTTTTATGGGAATTTTGCCTAGCCGAACATCGAGGATAGTAGAGCCTAAATCCGGATCCGGTTATAACTTTAAATCAATCACTTGCATGATTAAAGGATTACCTTAGACTCTCGACTGTAAGACCTGCACGTGTTACTTTCGTGAGCGATATATGATGGGCTAATACAATGGGCGTGTTGTTATATTCAGAGGGCTTAAAGTCAATGCTTCACGGTAATCTACGCACAACAAGAAACATTTAAACGACTCTTGTGATTGCACCCTGCATGTTGTAATTTAATAAAATGATCTTTAAAGTATGAAAATATGGCATTCATAAATCGCGTTGCTTATTTTACAATCTGTAGTATTTATTTCACTTAACTTGGTAGCGTCCTAGACGTGTAGGTGCTAAATTCACCGGTGAAGATATAAAACCCGACGAATATGTCCCTGAACAACATAGCTTTGACTACGATGGCAAAAGAGACAGGTATACATGGTTTACACATGAAGTGGGATTGTTCAGTGATACGTCGCTGTAGTTATGTACACAGCGAGTACTTCGCCATTGATTTTGCATGGTGTTCGTTACTTTAAGATGGGTTGGATATGATCCTGAAGAACACCAAAGGGTGCTAGAAGAATATCAAAAATGGAAATGGTAAGCGAAAGTTTTGTGAACAAAGAAACCGAACTTCAAATTGTTCTTATCATCGCATTCTTACTTAATGAACCTCTTGGCCAGTAGCACTGCGAGTACTCATCACGGAGTAAAGTTCTCTTTTCATTCATCTAAATATTCTACTCCGATTGATCTATATTTATCATTGATACGAGTACTTTATGCACCCATAGGCGTACGGGACAGGGCAGTTGGAAAGTTGGGCAAATTTTAACGGGCGAAATTACGGCGGGACCTCTTTGTGAATTGGGAAAATTTCTTACTCCCTCTCCAGAAATGATAGCTCCCGTGCGCTTATGTATGGACCTCATCTTTATCTATAAGTTTTCTAAAGCGAAGCTTACTGATATTTCTTTGTAGGCGAAACAACAGCTGAAATCGGATAAACTGCATCAAGATTTAATGGACGGAAAGAAAGTTGAGGAAAAAGTGCGTTCTTGAATTTTGAATTCTCCCCCCCCCTGTTTCACCCAGTATCTCGACGTTTCAGTTGTCACTTACGTGCATAACATTTTATGTTCATAGGAGAAATTAAGTGACGATGACGATGACGATGAGGATAAATATGCTGATGATGTCATTATACCTGGACAGAAGTTTGACAGTAAGAGGTGAGATCATGGTAGTTGCCTTTGAGATAGATCATGGTAGTTGCCTTCAATACACCACAGAGAGTGAGATAGATCATGGTAGTTGCCTTCAATACACCAGTATCCACAGAGAGGTGAGATAGATCATGTTGCCTTCAATACACCAGTATCCACAGAGAGGTGAGATAGATCATGGTAGTTGCCTTCAATACACCAGTATCCACAGAGAGGTGAGATAGATCATGGTAGTTGCCTTCAATACACCAGTATCCACAGAGAGGTGAGATAGATCATGGTAGTTGCCTTCAATACACCAGTATCCACAGAGAGTGAGATAGATCATGGTAGTTGCCTTCAATCCACCAGTATCCACAGAGAGGTGAGATAGATCATGGTAGTTGCCTTCAATCCACCAGTATCCACAGAGAGGTGAGATAGATCATGGTAGTTGCCTTCAATACACCAGTATCCACAGAGAGGTGAGATAGATCATGGTAGTTGCCTTCAATACACCAGTATCCACAGAGAGGTGAGATAGATCATGGTAGTTGCCTTCAATACACCAGTATCCACAGAGAGGTGAGATAGATCATGGTAGTTGCGCCTTCAATCCACCAGTATCCACAGAGAGGTGAGATAGATCATGGTAGTTGCCCTTCAATACATGGAGCGATACTCCCGGTTCAAACCATTCACTTTAAGCATCATCACAAGTCAAATAGTTACAGTGAAAACCACCATTTCCTAATTGACTTACTTCATTTCCCAGGCGAGTCTTGTCATGGACCCGGCCGCCTTTCTCGAAAGACGAACTCAATTGAGAATTGAAGAACAAACTGAAAGGATTTTATCCGGAGCGCGAAGATTATCCGACTTACCAACAACACGTCCAACAACGAAGGAAAGGTTACTCGAAGAATGCGTCAAAGTTCACACGGCCCTACAAGAACTTGTTTCTATATACATACATTATGTAAGGCTAAAGTCATGCCGTTTACGTTGCTGGAAATGAAATTGATGGTCTCGTCTTGCCTTTATTTGGTTTGTTTTTCTTTTTGCGCAGGCCGAGACAAAACAGACACCGACACCGAACGATGAACTTAATGAGTCCATTGATAGCATGGCCGACAAAACTCAAGATCTACGACGTCAAGTTTGTATCTTTATTCTCCAATCTGTAAAACGTGTAAAACTTGTGTAAAAGTGTGTTGACTACGGCCGTAAACATCATGCGTCAACACTCAACAGACATACATGGCTTTCTTATTGTCAGAAATTTATGTTTTAGATGCGTGTTGCCGTGGCTGATCATATCTCGGATACCTTTCTCGACACTCTTGTACCGCTGATGTTGCTTGTTGACGCTGCCAAAGATGGTAATCAACGTGGGGTCGAGGAATGCGCCATTGTGTTCAGCGAAGGAGCTGCGAAGCTGGAAGAGGTAAAGAGTTGTAGCATACAGTATATGTTATTTCAACCGTTTAGTCGTAACGAAAAGTAAGATAGTCTATCCACCTTGCGAAATGTATACTCACCACCAGTTGGTACGTGGCCTTATAAGTACGAGTGCAAGATAAAGGAAGAAACTATTGGAGCACTCCGGGAAAAAACCCAGCATAAACAAACCTGGAGGGAGAGGGGAGATAAAACGCGCACATATACCCAATCTCGCTTGCTCTGTGTACTTATGTGTACCTGCATTGACTAACATATTTTCAAAATTGCAACAGGTTAACGTAAATGTAAAAAATGCCATTTTATTGTGTCACTTGAGGTCGCCAATCTTGCTTGCTCTGTGTCTAATAATGCTGAGGGAGTTAAACTTGTTCGAGTGATCACCAAGAAAATTCACAATTTATGTCCACAGGTTGGTAAAACAACTATATATTTGTTGTTGTGTCTGTGTAGGTCTTATGAAAAAGTTTGCATTCAAATGTATTGCGACACATTGTATTATTCAGCCCCAGTCTTCTTATGCTCGCACACCGCTTTTTTTTTGCCTAGCTTTTGCGAGTAAAGTCCTCACTTTTAGGTGATAAATGCAGCCCGCACGTTGGCAGCCCGCCCACGTAGTCGTACGGCACGTGCCAATATCGACACATTCAAAGCGACTTGGGAAAGTCAAGTTCATCTTCTGGTTGAAGCTGTGGATGAGATCACGGAGATTGACGAATTTCTAACTGTTTCAGGTATGAACACATTGATCACCTCACCTGCTTAATATACTAATGATTTATCATGGTGTATTCTTAGTGCATGTTTGTGTTTGTTGTGTTATGTTTTGTGCTGTGTGTCATTTTGCTCAATTAAGTCTAGTGACTGTCGTCGATCCTAATGAGTTCAACGTAGTAAGAAAGATTACCTAGACACAAAATGTACAACAGTATTAGCCAGTTTCCAAGCGTGTGTTTTGCTTCAAACTTTACCACAACATTCCTTTCCTACTAATGTGCTGTTTACAGTTGCTGTATAAGTATTTAATTGTTTTTTTGATAGAAAATCATATTGAGAGGACGTTGAATCCTGTATCAAGGCGACAAAGGAGAGAGATGTGGAGACGCTGGATGGGACTGCTGGTCTCATTCGTGGATGCACGGAGCGCGTTGCTGCAGTGGTATTGGCTGAAATGGAAAATTTCGAGCAATGACCTTATACTGAAAATGTACAGAAGACTGTGAAATCACTCGAGGAAGACAGTAAGTGTTTTCCAACTTTCACATATGTTCGATTAACGCTGGGTAAAATCTGTCACTGGCATGTAGCTCTGGTTGGATATGTGTAGCTCTGCTGGGATATGTGTAACTCTGGTGGGATATGTGCATTGAGTTCTATAATAACTGGAGCGGCTAACTTTACTGGGGCGAGGTCGCCAAAAAAATGGCGGCCAACGGACGTATTTCCGCTGAAATGATCGCTTTGCAGAAAAATAATATTCTCGACCTCCCCCTGGTGTCTATAGTAAATTATAAAGAATTTTTCAAAAACAAACACGATATCACAGAATATGGATATCGTTAGTTCCATATTCTGTGACGATTCTTTTTTGGCATTTCTTTTATAATGCCAACACTTCAATCGTTCAATTGTTGGATGTCGTAGTTTCCACAAAAAGGAACATATCGCTTCTCACAGGTGAGGTAGTTGTTTGTTTTGTTAGTCCGTCAACGATTGAAAAGCAATTATACATGCACTTGAAAAGCCATAAAATACATATTAAAGATCGTATTTTTTAAGACTGACTTGAACGCCAAATATACTGATGTTTTCCTGTTTTTGTCTATAAAATTCTGCATACTTTTCTGTCATTTGTTAATGCATGAAATCGTAAATTTACCTATCTATTTGCAAAATAGTTTCCCTAAAGCAAAAAAGACCCTGCACACATTTTGCTCTGTGAAAAGTATCAAGAAGAAATGATCAGCCCCAACAGTACCCATGATTTGGAGCAGAGCTTGTTATGTTCTATTTGCTGACAACATGCAGGGAAGACCAAGGAGTAAAGATGACTGGAAGATGTTATTGACCAGGCAGAGTCTTAAAAAAATGATAATGCTGTAAAGATAATTGATTTATTGTCTGCCTTATCCAGAGTTATTTAATTTGATCATGGTCAAATTCTATGGATGGAGACAATGGATTCACTAATGATGCCTTGAATGCTTTGAAGTTAAAGTTCATGAACCAAAAGAAAAAGAAGGTTGTGTGTGTTTTGATGCTTAATTAAATGTCAATTCACAACATATAAAATGGAAAGGCCATAAAGTTTGTGTCTATGTAAACATTTGTACTGAGATTGATGATGACTTGATGCAGATGTGAAGCATTAAACTGAATAAGCCATTGGGTTTTATATAACTTAATGTTTAAATCATGTCATATCTTTATCAAAATATTTTAGTTGAGTGTTGTTTAAATGTTACTAATATCTAATGCACTATACTGAAGCATTAAAGATTCAGTGATGAAACCTTTAAAATTACTGTACTGTATATTTCTTATATATTTCTTATATTTCTTTAAGAAACAGTTTGAGCTTATTTACCTATTAGAGTACAGAATGGAGATTTATCATATGCATCATTGCTGCTTTTTAAATAAATGTTTTTTTTTCAAAGCTTTTCTACAAATATTTTGCTTCTTATTTCTTTTCATGAGATTGATGATATAGAGGTAATATAATCCAATAACTTTATAATTTCTAGAAAGCTTTTAAGCTTCTAGCATAAAAGTACACTATAGGTATTTAATTCATTTGGTTTTATTGCCTTGCATATCCATATGCATTTCATCATTCATGTATGAAGAAAACACCAAATGTGGATACTCAGAGAACAAAATGCACTACCAACTGCTTATGAAATTTATTATTGAAGTGAAAACTGTGTTAATCATTCAAATTGTGCACTTATATTGAAAATATAGGAAAAACAAAACAAAGTGAAAAAGAAGGGTAGAAGTATTAAAACTAAAATGAATTATAAACACCATTGGAAGCATAAGTGTTTTGATGATTATTTGCATTTTGCCCAATTTATATATCAATACAACAAAATCAAAATGTGCTACAACTTTACAAGTATTTGATGCAGTTGCACTTCAGAACATCACAAAAGGTTACTTAAAGTAATTTCTATACAATATTGTTTGTTTTCATTTACCAAACCTATGCAGACTTGAGTCTTTTTGAAATTTAATATGAAACTCAATTACAGAAAATCCGTAAATATCCAGAGATTTAATATTTACTTTTTTAAAGAAACAAGTAAAAATCCTACAATTGTGGCGAAAAAGCCATTGCCTTTCCATGAAAAGAAGCAAAATAGCAATGATAACAAATAAGCTAACTTTCTCTCGTGAACCACTGTGGAGATGAACTATGATATACTTTTTTGTATAGACTAAAGAGTTTAATCGATCAAACAAGTTTGACGCTGGTAAGAAAACGACGCATATCTGCATTCATAGATGTGTAGCCGACATATAGCTCTTTCGTCGATAGTTATAAATACATCCTCGTAGGAGCCG